ACATGTCGATGATGATTGGATCAAGTAGAGATATACTTATCTCTTAGATTCTTGAAGAATTTTGTTTTTTTGTTCCATTTTTATCTATCAGTCATGTTCTATTCAAAAGCTAATTTCTATCATATAAAATACATTAAGATGTTAACATGATTTATTGAAGTTAGACATTAAAAAAAAAAAAGAATCGTTTCTTCTTTTATATTATATAGAAAAAAAAACATGTCACAATATTTCAAACGGATGTAAACAATAATAAAATATATATATATATGTATAGAAATAATTTGCTTTTCATCTATAAGAAAATATCAAAAAAACCCTGGTTGACAACAGTCATCATCAATTAATATTTGTTTTGGCCATCAATCAATGCATATAAGATATATATATATTAAATTTTCTCATTTATGGTTAAGATAAGCTAAAACATGTACCAAAGAAATAAAATTATTCGAACTATGTGTTCTATAAACATTAAAAAAAAAACACATATTTTTTTTGTTTAAGATATATATATATAGATTTATAAATATGCATATATAATCTAGTTGATCATGCATGAATTTTACGAGAATATTTAAATTAAGAGAGGGATAATCAGGAAAATCTTCATGTTTCGTCTGAGTATGTTCTTGTGAAGTGCTTTTTATTCATAGTTTAATAGCATTTTTTTTTCCTATTAACGAAACTTGAAGTGTATAATGAAAGACAAAACAAGAAAAATGTATTTGCATTTTTCTGTTCTTCTAGACGTACACTCAAGGAGAAGTCGTCTTGTTCTTCCTTCCTTTACTTTTTACCCTCCTTACCAGCTGCAACAAGAAAGAAAAAAGACATATCCAGCACCATTTTATCCTATTAGCTATGCCTCTATCTTCCTCGTAAATAACAACATGCTAAAATCACGCATTGACAGTGTGGAAAATCTATTTTTGCATAAAAAAAAAAAAAAAAAAGAAAAAATATAAACGCGTACCTTGTACTCAAAACAGTATCATATAAATACTGCATACACTCTCTTTTTTTTTCCCCACAAATACTTTTTTACGACATCATACTTCGTCGCTAAACTTTTTCATACACACAAATCGATAAAAAAATATGGCTTCAATGAATTATTGTTTAACTTTATGTCATGCAGCTGAAGAAAAATATAAACAAAAAACTGAACAAAATACATCACAACCAGTTGATATTCCAAAATCAAATTCATCTAATAATGGTACTAAATTTTTTGGACATTTTTTTTCATTTGGCTCATTATCAGCTGCATCAGCATCAATGCAAAGTAATTCATGGCCTTCTACATATTCAAGTGTTACTGATATTGATCCAAATCCATTCTAAATTAATTTATCATCAATTGATTTTATATATTTTATGTATATAAGTCCTTACTACTCATTAGGTAAAAAAACTTCATGAAAAAAAAAAGTATAACAGGTCAATGTGTGCTTAGAAGCGAAGATAAAATCTTATGTCACGTAGTGAAAATATGTGTGAATGTGTGTGTGTTTCTACTTTTGCATGCTTGTTAATATGTATATTTATTGTAAATTTTTCCTTTTTTATTGTACAAAGAAAAAAAAAAGTCAATCAATGATGTGCTGTGAAACCGCGTAAATAAGCTTTGATTATGATTTACATTTTGTAGTAGTTGAGTTATTTTGAAGCAAAAAAACATAATTTGTTTTTACATTTTTTTTTTATTCAGTGCAATAAAAAAAAAAGAATAAAAATAGAAATTTTCAAGTATGTTGTATTTTTTTAAGAGCATATTTTCGTATGAAAAGCTTTTTTATCTCTCGTTAAGCCGGCAAAATCCTGTTGAAGTTTTAATAATTGTTTTTTTTTCGTCGAGCTCTGATGTTAATGAGAATATTCCCATTGTAGTAACAAACAAACAAGAAAACAAACGATATCTTAAGACATAATAGATCCAAATCAATTAAAACAAAAAAAGAAAAAGAAAAAAACAAAGCTTCTTTATAAGAAAATCGTCTCTATTGTCTCGATTGTTTTTTTGTTGTTGTTGTTTATTTCGATAAAAGAAAAAGACAACACGAATGATTACCGGCTATGACGGCAGATAATAAACTTTCATTATGAATCATGAAAGAATAAACACAAATATATATATATATATTTCAAAAGAAAAGTCGATGCTATGCTAGAAAGGGAACAGAAAGTAATATATGGTGGTTGTTTTTTCTTTTTTTTTTTTGTTTTTCTTGTCTTATAAATAAGCGAATGACAAAGAAGAAGAAGAAGAAAGAGAAACAAATTTTTAGATAATAACTGTACAGTATTGAAGAAAAAAAAAAACAAAAAAAAAAAAAAAGAACTAATTGTTATTTTCTTTGATTTGTTTGCTGTTGCTGCTGCTGTTGTTGTTGTTGTTCAAATCTATGAATTTTTCCTTCTAAATTTAATTTTTCCCGTTCTAATTGATGTATTGTTTGACGTTGCTCTTCAATAATAGCTGTTTCATTGATTAATTGTTCAAGTAATTGATTATTAACATCAATTTCCGAAATTTTCGATGGTAATTCACTTTTATGAAGAATAATCTGTTTACATTTTGATGATGTTGTATGATTAATATCATTTGAATTAGATGAATATGGATAATGATTATTAATTTTTTCATCATGAATATTATCTGTTAATATATTTGTTGTTTGACCATTATTTGTTAATAATGGTGAAAGTAAAACATGATCATCACAAAATAAATCTTCAATTGTTGTACTATCAGGTAAATTATCAAACATTAATTCACGTATATTATCAAGTGATGTTTGTATATGATTAACATCACCTGTTATATCATGTAATGAAAAAGGTACAATTGTTTCAGATGAATTTGTTGGTGTATGGAGTTTTGATTGTTTATTATTATTATTATTATTTGAATAAATTGAAGTATTTAATGTTGATGATTTTTGATGATATGTATTTGGAAAATTTATTTGTTCAGCTTTTATTAATGGAGGAAGTTTTTTTGACGACTAGAAAAATAAATAATCGATAATTATAATTAAAATATTTGAATTTATAATTTAATTAATTTAACTAATTCTATAACTCGAAAACAAAAACAAAAAAAATTTACTTGTAATATTATTAACTTATAGAAGATTTTTCTATCAATAGTTAATATTATAGAATCTAAATATGAAATTTTTTTAATTTATATTTTAATAAAAATCAAAAGAAAAATAATAAAGAAAGAAATTAATTTTGTATTTATAAGATTATTATCTTACAAATCAAATAACTTTTGTTTATTTACTTATAGAGTTAAGACTTGTCGCTTTAGAAAAATGAAGACTTTAAGATTATATGTTAAAAACAAAAAAAAAAGAATCTAATTTCATAATAAAACGTATATTTATTTGAGAGTGAAAAAGAAAATATATCTGTTAATCTTAAACGATGGTGTTTATTATTTTTTTTTAATATATATATATATTAAATCATATTAAAAAAATAATCTGCATCAACGTTTACCGTATCGATGCCTGATAAATTCACGTCATCTATTTGTCCAATATTTGTTTTTATTTCATGATTATTATCTGTATTTAAGAAAAAATCTGGAATATATGTTGATTGACTTTCATTATTTCCATTACCAATTGTTTTATAAGGTTTATTTTGTTCTGAAAAATTTAATGTATCATCAATATCATTCGTTTGAACAGTCCATTCATAATTTGTCGATGGATGTTGTTGATGATAATGATCATCAATTAATTGTATTGATGCTAATTGAGGTGGTGCTGGTAATGATAATGGTGGTGGTGATGGTACAAGATCAACTAATGGTGATGTATCTGTTGTATGAAGCCAACCAGTTGTATCATTATCAGTTAATTCATTAATAATTATACCTGGTTGTCGTTCAATATTATTTGTTTGTGATAAAATATTATGTTGTTGTTGTTGTTGTGTTGTACGTTTATTTGATTCATCACTAAGCATAAGAGCAGCTGGTTTACGTTTAAGACTATTTGTTGTTATATGTGGATTTGTTATTGTATGATGTTTTGTTTGTTGTTGTTGTTGATGTTGAGATTGTTCTCTTGATGATTGTTCAACAGATGGTCGTTGTGTTTGTGTTGAATTAGTAAGAAAATGTAAAAGAAATTTCATTAATTTTGATACAATTTGTTGTTGTTTAGCATGTTTTTGTTTTAATATACTCATTTCACGCCATAATGCTTGATTTTCATCTTGCATATGAAATAATTTATCACTTAATGATGTTTGTTTAGCTTGTAAATTTCTAACATCATCAAGTAAATGTGATAATTCAATTGAACGTGGTGGTTTTGTATCAATATAATTTGTAGATACAAGTGCTGATGATGATGATGATGGTGATGTTGCTGATGTTGTGGGTGTTGTTGTTAATGATGATGATATTGGTAATTCAGTTTTTGTTGTATGTATATGTAATTTTTGTTGATTATCAGGTGCACGTCGTTTAATTAATTCTAATAATGTATCATGTCCACGTATAAAATTTGGATGTGCAAATTCAATATCATCATGTTCACTTTTTAATGAACCATGTTCAATAGTAGAAATTTTACGAAAACCATACATATTTAATTGTCGTATAAATGATGCAAAATTATTATGTTTAAAATAACGTGGTAAAATTTCACGTGCAAAACGTGATTGATCATATACATGAAATGAACCACCATTTGGATCCCATGCAATAAGATCATTACATGATGGATCATTTACAAGTGCCCATAATTTAGCTAAGAATGCTGTTATAGCTGTTTGTGATGGTTGATTTTGTTGTGGATAATAATCACTAAGATTACTACTATCACCTATATTTGACGATGACATATTTTGTTATTATTTCTATTATTTAACAAAAAACCAAAAAAACAAAAAAACAACCAATGGAATTTTTTATCTGAAATATAAAACAAAAATCTAAGAATTTGAATAGAGAAACTTTTTTTTTTTTTTATTTAAGTTTTTAAAATTTGTTTACGAATTGTTTGAGAATTATATAACCAAACAGCATCAATATCTTCACCAACTGTACGATCAAATTTTATTGGAAATTGATAACGACATGTTATAACAATACTTTCATCACTTATTTCTTTTGATAATTTTTTTAATAATGGTTCCATCTAAGTAGAAAAATTTATTTAAAAAAACAAACAAATGTTTCAATTGAAACAGAAAATAAATATTTGTATAGTTTTACAAATAAATTCTCGATTTTCTCTTCCGGAAGGACGAACATCTAAACTTTAGAAGCACAGACATATATTACATGGTACAACAACTACAAATTCAAGGCAAATCAACACGATTCTCATAGAAAATTATCAGAAACAAAAATCTTGATCACTTATATTTCTTGTCTTGAAACTAAAACACTGAGCACTAAGAATTTAGGATATGAACATTACTCACATCTATGACCATAACTTTAAAACTATGGTTCTATTTTGTCATAGATTAAAAGAATAATAATTAAATAAACAATTCATATAGACGTCCTTGTTTTTTATTCATGAGCTTTTCATATAAAAAAGATAAAGGTTGAAATTTTTTTTTTTTTTCTTGTTATATTCATTTAATAGATAAGCATTATTATGTAAATGTTTGATTAGTTAAAACTACTGATATATAGTTATTAAAAAAAAAACAATTTCAGATCACTAAGAATTTTCTTAAAATATTGCAAAAATTCTTTGAGAAATTTAAATGACTTTATTAGAAAGAAAAATCAAAATCATATTGAAAACTCTCGAATATTATTATTTTTGACAGAATGCACTTTTTTTTTTAACTATGAAAAATTTCAGTAACAATATCTCTCGAAAACTTTACCTATTCACTGTAACACTTTTCTATAAACAATTTGAACAAAATCGTCTATGATACAAAACTATATTAATGAGTACAATCTTCTTTTTTTTGCTCGTAGCTTCCAAAATATTAAAAAAAAATTTTTATTAAAAGTGCATAAGTAGCAGCTGGCGACATATTTACAAAAAAAAAAAGAATGAGCTTTCTATTTCAATACAAACGAGTTTGACATTTGTACTGAAACATAGATTATTTCAATTAAGAAAAATAATTATACTAAATCATTTTTTTGTTTTCTATAGTCTATTTATCACTTGATACAACTTTGAAATTTACTTCAACTTTAAATAAATGTGTTATTAATTAATAAACTATTTCCTACATTTGAATACTTAAATTAATAATAATACTTATCATAATTTTACTATATTCTAATATTTCTTCATATATCAAAGGAGAACAAAAAAAAAATGACTTCAATGATTTGATATATTAAACATACGAATACTCAACTAAAACAAAAAAATGTGTTTTAAATTTTCTTTCGATATAAAAAAAAACAACAACATCGAATAGGTAAAAAAAAAATGAATCGATTTTGTCAGAGAATTAAGTACAATTTTTGACTTACCATTGTATCAACACCAAATAAAACAATTGTATCATATTTTGATAAATCATGCTAAATAGAATAAAAGAAAATAATTATCCTATCTATCAATAAAAGTAAATAAAAAAAGAAAATTTTTTTTTTTTTACTTTCCAAAGATTTGCTCGTTTAAATTTACAAATATTTCCTTGATTGGATAAATATGCTTTTAAACGAGCATAATAAACAAGTACACGATTGATTTCAATACCAGTAGCACGTGGAAAACCTTGTTGAATTGCTTCAAATACCTAGAAATAATTATTATATTGTTAGAAAAAAAAAAAAAAAATGTTTTTTTTTTTTTGTTTTAATATTTACAATTCGTCCATCACCACTTCCAAGATCAATAAGATGTTGACGTTGTTTTGTTGAATATTGTTTTAATAAATTGAATATATTATCTAACTGCTCTCGGGTCGCAGGTACATAAGGAAGCGCATGACGTCGTAATGCTGGTGTTAAAAATGGTACGGCAAGCACAGTAAGACCTGTGCATTTAGGATAAGATGATTAAAATTAAAAAATATATATAACTCTCTTTTGCTTTAATTTTCTTTCAACTTGCCAAGACCAATTCCTCCACATACACCAAGGAGAATGCGGCCGAATTTTTTTGAACTTTGTTGTTCTTGCATAACCTTTTTTTTTTGTAATCTAAACGAAACGGTCGTAAAGGAAATATTTCTTTGTAATATGATGAATCATTACAAGAGAATATTAGAATATGAGTGAGAATAAAACGATCAATAGATGTACATATATATATACATATATACAAATAGGAGACTAACAATCATCAAACAACGAGAATCATTTCAAAATAAATAAATAACTAATGCACACTATCGGAAGGATGTCCGATTATTTTATGAATTGACCAATTGTGTTTATATAATGTATATATGAACAGCGACACTAGTAGTGAAGTTTAGAGACATCTAGTGGAAGTTAATATTAATCAGATGTATTGAATTTAAATTTTGAAAATTTGTCTAATGAATTTTTTTCGTATATTTTAATAAAGTACAAGCAACTCAAAATTCAAGTAAGGCTTTTTTTTTCTCCTTCTTCTTAATACATTGTCCAATACAGCTTGATCTGTTGACCAAGAGAAATTGTAGTAAATCAAAGCAAGTTGTAAAAATCTGTTTTCTTTTTTGTTAATAAAAGATTCATAATACCATTTTCTATCACAAGTTTTACTACGAAATACTCAGTAGAAAAATTAGATTAATAAAAATGTGGACTCTAAATTTCAAATACAAAAAAAGAAAATAAATAGCCAATCTTGTAAGACATGAAAAAGTCTATCTTTTGATCATGTGAGAAAAATTTGTTGTATCCATAATTGCCATATAAATGAATTAATTTGGTCATAAATTTTATGATAAAACTAATACCTTTCCATTAGTAAGTTTGAAGATTTCAGAAAAATTTGCATGAATCAACGAAAAAATGAATCAACGAAAAAATGAATCATTAAAAGTTTTATATGTTTCCATCTCACCTTTAATTAAGTAATGTTTGTGAGAAAAGACTCGATTAAAAGGAACCTCATTGTATATCATGAACAAGAGAATGTATGTAATTATATTCCTAAATACAATCTGTTGTTTTATAATATTTGTACAAAGCTAGAAAAATATACTATAGATTTATTCAGGCAACTAGTTTTTTCGATAGTTGCTAGTATTATTTATCTAGTTTTTCTTGCTTGATATCTTGTAGAAAAACTTATCACACGTACTGTTTGAGAATTGAATTGTGCTATATTGTTCTGGCAGTGTTTTATTTAGATTGTTTTCTTTAGAGTAGGCAGTTCGAAACTCTCAAAGAATGGACAACTATTTTCATAGATGGGACAAATACACGATATGCAGCCGAAAGTATTGATTCAACCGAAAGGAAAAAAGATCAAATAAAAAAAAATTGACATAGAGATCAATACGTAAGGCAATTGTTTGAGTTACAGTCGTGATCGCTATATAAAATTGATCGTAGTGTTTTAAAAATACTCCACATTTAGGATCAGTTTTTCGAAATTTTCTTGTTTATTTTTTAAACATTGTGTTTTCTACCATCATTGTCTTGCTTTATCATTTCGAAATTTCACGAAACTAGGATGATTTTCAAAAAAAAACAAAAGCATCGATTAATACATTGGCTTACTTCTCTATAGATAGAGATGCTTGTTCTACAATTCAAAATTTTTCATTTGATTTAAGCAAAAAAAACAACACTGTGATTACAAAAGTTTTTTTTCTTGACGATCAAAATTCAGTATAGGGTTGTAACTTTTGAATAGAATCCCAAGAGGTAAAGATCCTTTTAAGATTTTCTTAATCTTACTCATATCTATTTCTATTCATGATATAAACAAAATGAAAATCAGTATTGGGTTTTTGATGACATCTGTAGAGTGTTTTTGGCAAAAGTGACTTCAATAGCTTTTCATTTGACGTAGTCAATGCCACTCCGTTTCTTTTCATATCGAAGATTTTCTTTACTTTTTATCTCACAATGTTACAGAAAAAAATCGATCGTAGATTACAAATTTATCGAGAAAGAACAATAACAGCAAATTTAGAGAATGCGACAAGTCGAATTGAAGTATACAAAAAAACGTGAAAGAAAGAGTGAGAGATATGTATCAGACAAAATATATTAAATATGAATTTTAAGTTTTCGTCTCTTTTGTCTGGCATCGGTATTATGGTTACAATTATTATGGTGGTTTATAATAATATTTTAAGATAAGCCATGCTAAAATAGACGGAGAAGATTTATATATATCTAATTGTTTTTTCTTCCCATCAACAAATATTATCAACGATTCTCAGTCCTATCTTATATATACTCAATTGTTGCTGGCTATTTCACACTATAAAAGAATCATGTTGCCAACAACCAAATAAAGTGTGGTGATGTGTATGCATAGAAAAGATTTTTATTTCATCTTTTGGAATTGTTGTAAACATTGTCTTCAGAACAGTATATGCATTTCTTACTTTATAGAATAATTCACTGTCGAACATTTACACTCAAATCCCCATCTAAATAAACAAAGAACAAGAATTGTTCCATCGACGTGTTGACTTGGTCAACAATCAGAGTAGAATTCGTCACATTATTCCATGAATCGTATTGTCTATCAATCATTTCAAGCATTCATATCGTCTAGTCTAATTCATTGAAATATTTAACAAAGGCTTGTTCATAGAGCAAATCAATAATCATATTAGCGTTGATCTTCATCCGGTTTGATTGAAAGAAAAGAACTTGTCAATAATGACCTTTGCTTTTTCTATTACAAAAGTTTATTTTCAGCACAACTCGACAAAGCTTTTCATCTATTTGAATATTCAGTAGGAAATGTCTAATTCAAGTAAAGATGGAATGAATATTGCTATTAAAGTTTGATTATCGCTTGCGGGATAAAGTTCTGAACCGCTTCTCACATCCTCATCTACTAACAATCATTATTCTCAATAGATATTGCTTTTATTCAGATATTTGACATTGGTCTCGTACTACATATTAGTGAATAGGTCATTATGATTAACGAATTTATTGGAGCGGATAATCAGTACGAACAGTTTAACAAATTTTTAGTATCTTCTACCAATTTAGACACGAGTCGTTTTTTCAATCCTGGTCGATCCTTCTGCAGTTGTCAGATAAAAAGTTCATAGAAATCACAGTAACAATTAAATAAAACAAAACCGTTCATCGAGTCACAAGGTTAGAAGACATGCGATTTAGTGATAAAGTAGTGTTTTCTAAATTTTTTGACGAATATTGATCACGATATTTTCATATCATAATCCTTCACATCCTGGCTTCGCACCAACACTTTGTGGAAATATAGAAATATATAGGAATTGAAAAGTACCATTTCTGTAGGATCGGCTTTCACTATATAGGAAATATATAGGACACAGATTTTTACTACTAGGAAGTCTTTAGAATCTCGAAAAATGCTGCAACAGTATTGCAGATAATAGGTTGCTTTTTTCTACAAGTGTTTGATACAGTAAATAGAAAAATATCTTTGATTTGCAAAAGACAACGGCAGAATAAAGTTTTTTGCTAAAGAAATAAAAGAAGTTAATTTATGTTTGATTTATTTTCAACTGTTCTACGCATACATTTCAACATGAAAATAAACAAAATCAAATTGAATAAAGTTCACCAAAAAAAACTTATCTTTTAGTTTATTAAAAGAATAGATGCATGTATTTATGTAAAAAAAACTATATATTATTACCAGTTTTAAAGCCATTATGTGCAATATGAAGATTACAACCTCCAATTTTTAAAAGACCACAACCAATCTTCTTCATTTCATTATCAATCAAATTTTCAAATGATAAGTTAATAAATGGACTATCATGGCCTAACATAAGTAATTGTTTCAATTCTAATCCATCAGCTTTAAGTGAATCAATAAAAACATTCTTTAAAACTGATGCTGTTGCATGTCTTAGTAAAATGGATTTGTAATATCGAGTAACAACAAGTCCTTCACTATAGCACCAATACTTTACTAATAAATCTAATTGTTTACGATTTTGGTTGTTGGTCTGTTCATCGAAACATAAAACAAATTTTTCAGTTTTTTTCAAACATTTTATAAGTTCTGCATGAAAGTATGGTCCTAAACCATGAGATAAGACATATGAAACCTTCCTAGACTGCATACTAAATTGTTGCGCAATCTTTGAATCAGGAAACATAGTTCGAAAAACATCTCCTATTTCATCACAAGAATTAAAGCTATAGCCACGTCGAGCAACTGTCAAAGCCCACACTGCTTCAGCTTTAGTAACTTGTTCTTGAAAATCTAACATCATCGGTTCTTTACACTATTTAATCTTAATTGAGCTGTTGTAATAGCATCATCATTACATGATGCATCTGCTTTAGAAGATTCAATAGAAAATGTCGAATTAGTTTTCAATAATTTTATGTTCTCTATATGACCTTTTGTTTTCATATGTTGTGAAATAGCCCCCCATCCTTGATTAGAACAATCAAGATCACCTGTTTTACATAAACTACATTGATATGTTAACACCTTGTTTTAACCATGTATTTAATTGAATACGTTCAGGATCTGCTTTGGTGAGTCAAGTTTGATTATACTTGCTATTTTTCGGCATCGATGTTTACGAATAAAGAATATCAAATAAATAATATCAAATAAACAATATCAAATAACTAATATCAAATAAATAATATCAAATAAATAATATCAAATAAACAATATCAAATAAACGATATTAAATAGAGTCAAATAAAACAAATCAAATAAAAATATCAAATAGATCAGGTTCACAACAAAGAATCTTTTTTTTTGTATTTTTCAAAATAACGTCAAATCTAGAACTAAATACAGATATTATGAACAGATTGTAAACACAGCTTTCAACCCAGAAATTTCAAAAAGAGACTAGTCGTTTTTTTGGAAAACGTTTGAAGATAAAATGATAGAACTGCTTTTTAATTTCGACTAACTAATGGGAATGGACACTATATAAATTGCCACTAGCATTTATGCGTTATCTGATAGACACTGGTAGCCATATCTATACAACATGAAAAGTATTGTTTTGAAAAGTTCATGACTCTTTTCAAAAGAATCTTCATTTTTTCGAAAAATATAGGAATATAGGACCAGTGCGAAGCCAGTTCACATCCATAGAAACTATCATGAACAAACAATTTTTTCTCTTCATCGTAACTGTCAACATTTGCAAATGGCACATTTCTCTTTCGTCGATGACTTTAATTATTTGACATAAGAAAGTTCAAAGTTACCAAACGATAAAAACTAACAGAAACTGTTGAAACACTTGATCACTTTTATATCATTTTCACTGGATTTTGAGCAGTTAAACGGTTTGATGGGTCAAGATTCAAATCATCTTTGATATGTTTCTATTCCAAAAATGAATTTCAGAAATTGTCAATCCCTTAATGATGAAAATAAAATGTTGCAACTCGATGACAAGCCAGAACAATAGATAATTTCAGAATATTTGAAATAGAATCTTTGAGCGAGACTTGAGGAAAAATGTTTTTTTTTTCTTTTCATTCATCATGATCTACTAGTAGATACAAGATAGTTCTATTTCAAACGATTTTATTGTTCAATCATTTTTTTAAGACTATGATAAGAATATTTAATCAATTTGAATTTTCAACAACCATCAACTTTGATCAATGTTAAACTTTTGTACTCGATGATTTCCATTCTCACTTACATACAGATTGCCTTCTCGATCAAATGATAAACCAATTGGACCCGAAAGTTTATTTGATTGATTTCCATAACCATTTCCACCAATGATGATACTTCCTCGCGTAGCTCCTTGAGGCCAACACATTATTCGATTATTCCCACTATCAGCCACATAGACAATACCTGATTGATTCACGATTACTCCACGTGGATATGATAATTGTGTAAGACTATTCCCTTGACCTTGACCACCAGCCACAATAATGCCTTGTTTTTCACCTTCCATCCATTTCATCACACGATGATTACTGGTATCTGATACAAACAATGAATGATCTCGATCGACAGATCCCTATGTCGGACAATTCAACTGATCGAGACGATTTCCTTGTCCGTTTTCACTAGCAACGACTGTTCCTTGACTTTCTCCTATTCGATATCGCTTCACTTCATGTTGATCGTAATCAGCAATATAAAGAAGTCCATCGTCAAACCAACACATCTAACCTTTGAGACGATTGCTTCTCCAATTGTACCATCTTGACCAGACCATCTAACTATTCTTTTATTGCCGTAATCACAAATGATAAAACTATCTTTTTCTTTATCAATAATCGCATCTATTAGACTGTTGAACTGATTAGAACGGTTTCCTTCTCCATTGCCACCGGTCACAACTCGACCAGCCGTTGCACCATATTTCCATTCCACAATACGATGATTCGAAGCATCGGCGATGTAGATAGTTTGATTATCATCAACACATAGACCCCATGGATTGTAGAGTTGATTCATTCCGTTGTCATATTCATTTCCTCCAGCAATAGTGACACCATTTTGTATCCATTTTGCATTAGCACTCAGATTGGCACTGCGGATTAATGGTGCTGAAAAAAAAAGCATAACTCCTTGTGTTGGCGATATACTTATATCAATATACATGGACAAAAACCGATATTCAGAGTAAAGAACTTGGATCGAGAAAGATAGAAAGAACATTTTTGACGCAATTTTTATACCGAGTAAGGTCTTAATAGTAGTTTCGTTGTTAGGATGTTTCGATAATGTCGCTATCATCGAAAAACTTCATCTTTCAAACAAGCTTTGATAATAAAATTTCATTATTGATCATCACAATCATCGAAGAAAATTTGACAGTGTTCTTCTTTTCGAAAAATTAGTTCTAGATGATTTAAATGACTATTGAATTTCGATCGAAATCATTGCAATCCAACTTTTCACTTCAACTATTTTTCGAAGAACGAAGATTCACGGGTGTTGATTAAAGTGTTCTCTTCATCCACACCTCACATCCATGTTAATACAATTTCAGAATAAAATCCTTTACCGTAAGAAGTTGTGAGATGAGGTGCCATTTGAATGATTAAAAGCTAGATGAAGAAAAGTTCTTTCGAAGACGCTATTTACCTTTCATTTCAAGACGAATTTTATTAATGAAAGATGTTGAATCATGTTCAATTTTGATATCTGGTGTATTGCTGAGAATGTCTTTTAATCGTTTAAGTTCTTCATTGAAAATTTGAATATCTGGATCGGAAAAATCATTTTCTTTACGACATTGAATGATTTGTTGTGTCAATTGTTTGAATTTAAAATCAAGATCAGTGAAAAATGTGATGACACACGGTAAGAGTTCATGACGAACTTCATTGGCCACTTGTCGAACCTTTTCGATCGATTCACGTTCCCATTCATCGATTTGTTTCATTAATTTATGTGTTTGTAGTTTAGCTTTTTGTTCATCAATTTCAGCTTTAAATTCATTGAATTGATCTTCAGTTTTATCTAATTGTTCGCTTAATTTATTACGATGTTCATTGATATGAACAAGACAAAAATCTTTTGAACATCCTTTACATGTTACAATACCCTTCGTTTTCTTGCATTGGATGCAAACTGTTCCTTGTGTTGTTGTCGCCATGTGAAAATCCACGATAAAAAAGAAAAAAAGATCTGAAAGAAGTTTGATAACGTGCGACAACAACAATATCTGAGTTTGTTGTGTATTTTGTCAACAAAAGAGTTCTTGTATCATGAAGGTGTCTACTTGTGTAGTCAGATTTTATCGTGGAAAATTTTACAACCAATCATAATCAAAGTTTCCTAACTGAGAATGAAGTAAAGATGTACATTAATTAAATCCTAATTTAAATTCTAATTCGAACAAAAAAAAATGGTTCTTTATTTCTCGATTCATTGATATCTTTCTTTTCTACACGACAAGCCCATTTATTCATTAATGTTCAGAAACTTACTTGTATTCGTAAGACTTTTCAAAATTTTTTTAAAACTATGATTGACAGAAAAGGCTACAATGAAATCTATTTGATGAGCTGAGTCGTATTAGTTTAAACTTGTAGATGTGATACTCTGTTCACATGTCGTCAAAGTGTGTTATAATCAAATAGTTGATTTTATCATTTGTCCAGGCTACAACTCAGTTTTACATTTCATAAAATACCGATAATCATCATCTCAATTCTTCTAAAATCGAACAATCGTTGGTTACTCGTGGAATAAAAAGGGTTTCATGTCGAAATGTTTTCCAGATTCTCAGAAAATAACAACAGATCCAAAAAAGGTTTTCAGTTGTTCAAAAAATATATAATCCATTTTATTCAAGGTCATTCCTTCATTCATACCAAACTAAAATTTGCCAAGAAAAAATAGTCGAGACTCAAAAATTAGCCTTATTGGAACATCTCCTTTGAAGACATATTCAATACTCAATGACAAGAAGCATACATGCTTTCAAAATTTGCTATATATACCAATATGTCAATCGTTGTTGCTGAGCATACGAATTTCATTTAAAAGAAAACATAGATTGAGACCTATATTGAGAAATCGGATAGGAAAACAGTTACTGAATGAAATTATTGATAAAACAAAGCATTAGCAATGTGTGTTATTTCCTTATAAATTGATATGTTCGATTTCATTAATTCGACAAAAAACAACAATTTCGAATTTTTAAAACCAAAAATGCTTAAATCATCGAAATCAGTTTTTTATTTAATTAATAAAAATAGAAATCATCTACTGTATATTTATGTTCTAAAGTTCGTTTTTGTTAATAATTTGATTTATTCGATATCTTACTAGAGTCCATTAAAATACACAAAGATTTGATTCAAATAATAAATCATTTCTATTATCATCGATTATAGTCAATATACATTCCGCTCGTGTAATTATTTTATTTTCCATGATTCGAAATTGTTTTTCTTGTCTAATAGATGTATGGTGTGGATATGAACGAAGAGAAGACTCACACCGTCACTCACATTCCAACTATTACTTCTGAAGTTTCTCTAAAAGAATATTTCAGTTGACATTGCTTAATACCATTTACATCGTGGAGAAAAAGTGAATCAATCTTACAATACTTCAAACATTATATTAGAATAATACTTTGTTTTTTCGATCATCTTGATTGTAAGTTATTAAACTATTTATCCACAATGATCTTGTTGAAAACCATTGAACGATACGTGTTATTATCATTTCAATACAAAAATATGGTAAGAGAATACAAAACAAATTTCTGAGTAAAAAAAACAATTATACGAATAGTAGGTTTAGACG